CGACCCGGACGCCGAGGGCCGCCGCCTGTCGGGCGAGCTCATCTCCATGCGCGATCTCACGGCCTCCAACAAGGTGTCGCTGGCGCTGCTGCAGAAGCAGCTGTCGGAGACGGCCAACGGCCACCCGCGCGGCGCGTGCGTCCCCGCGCGCCAGAACGGCTTCTCGGGCGGCGTGGGCGCGCTGGGCATCATGAACAACCGGCTGGCGGAGACCAGCGCCGCCAGGTAGAGCGCTCTCCGGGGCTGGCGCTTTCTTAATCTTTATCCAATAAAATGAAACCAAAAAATGCTATTTGGCCAGGCCTGATGTTATGCAGGGCAGGTTCTGGGGGAGCCTGCGTTTCTTGTGAGCCGCTCCTGGAGAACCGCGGTCCCCAGCAGGCTCTCCAGGGGGAAAAAGTGGCACCCCAGGCGCCCACCCAGCGCGAGCCGCGGCGAGGAGAGCGCCACTCCCGGGCTCTGCAGCCTGGCACCAAACCCCTTCTCATCCTCATAAGCAGCTGGCAACCCCAAAGCATATGGTGCATCTTTTCATGGCTCCGAATTACCTCCGCAGCATTTAGAATCCTGGCCCAGCCTAGCAGCTTCCTTCTGGTCGTCAGAAGTGAGAGAGTCACAGTTTTGACAGGTGGGGGTGGGGACGGCCATCTGTTGCCTCCCGTGTGTGTGTATATATAGAACAGCCACTACACACAGGGAATGCTGTAGTATTATGCAAGGGGATGAGGCATAGCACCCACTTGCGGACCGTGGCATTTCCCCCACGTTTGGGAATCGCGAATGGTAAGGGGCTTAGCTGGCCTTTCCCAGCCTGGAGGCAGAGCACCCGCTACACCGCACACAGGGCAGCGTCTGGCGCGGGAGGGGAGCGCTCAGGCAGAGGGGCCCAGCTCCGCCTCATCTGGAACCCAGAGCTCCCCACACTTGGGCTTCGTCCGCGCGGTCTGTCGCTGTGTGGCGCGTCTCAAACAAGAGGGTTTTTGGTTAGTTGGTTCCGCCCCCCCCCCACTTAACTACTGTTAATCAGTTCAACTTTTTTTCGTGTTTAAAAAGCACAGCCCCCCACCCGACCCCTATGAGTCAGGGAGCTGCTGCTACACCAGGAACCCAAAGCAGCCGCCTACAAATATCAGGGCATTTGGCTCCACAGCCCATGGAGGGCGCGGAAGGACACAATCAAGGGGTGTATTTCTTTTTGTTGTTTTTTTTTTTTTTTTCCAGTACCGGGAATCGAACTCACAAGCTCGCACTTGCCAGGCAGGCACTGTGTCGCTGAGCTAAATCCCTAGCCCAAGGGGTGTGTTTCTTGTGTGCAGTCTGCAGTGGGGACGGAGGAAGGTCGGAGGGAGGCAGCTAGCAGCCGGAAAGGAGCTTGAGAGGTACAGTCATGATGTGTATGATCCTCAAGCTGCAGGACCGATGCTCCTGGACTCTCCTGGGTCTAGGGATGGGGAAGGAGAGACACTTTTCTGCCCTTGTTCCTTCTTTAAAGAAATGTTGACCCTGAGGACAAGATGTGACCACATCTGACAGGAAGTCTTAGAAAAGCATCACCTCGCCAGCATCTCCAGCAGCACGGCGACCTCTCCCTCACTGGCACTGCGCCTGAAGCACACATGCACACATGCAGGCGCACATGCAGTGTTCAGAGTCACACTTGAATGTCAGACTCCTCTTCCAGTTTACAGTAGGAAGGAAAACGGGCCGGAGTCTCAGGGACTCTCAAGCCACTTGGGAGTAATTTGTAACTGGGTTGGGATTGTTTTTTAAACACACACCCCAGTCTGGGGTAAAGCCAGTGAGCGGTGGGCAGTAGACTCCTGGGAGAGCCGAGGCTCCAGGACAGTGAGTCCCCATCTGAATGACAGCTACGTCACACAAAAGGAACACACACTGGGGGAGCATGTGTCTTTAGTACGGGGCCTGTGGCAGGACCTGGAAGTAAAGTTCCAGCTCTGTCTCTTTAAAGGAAGGAAGCACTGAAAGGCATCCAATTGGAGATATCACCTAGGCAACAGGAAGTAACTTGGGGATCTGAGCCATTACAAGGGAAAGTATCGATCCCCATGGTAGAGGCATCTGGGCTTAGTCTGCAGGCAACATAGCCGCCCATCCAGGGGAAGGGAGCCGGCAGCTGCACTCTCGGCCCAAGGCCGGGCCGAGAGTCCAGAGCCAGGCAGGCATAGTGAGGTGTCCGGCTGTCCGGGAGCATGGAAGTCTGTGTCCATGGGCGGGACCAGGATCAGGACCTGCCTCCAGACAAAGGCACAGCATTCCTCAGCCGGCTCCTCTGTCTACCCTAGGTCGCTTATGCTGCAACCTTAGCTGTTGTTTCTTCCTTTCCTCTTCTCTGGCTTTGGAAGGAAGCAATTAGGGGCAGTTTGAGCACGCGCCTGAAGAAACTATGGCATGGTTCAAATCCTTTCTCCTTCCCTTTTACAGCTTCCCAGAGACATTCCAGTCCTCTAAGGTGGAACAGTAGCTCAGGATCCAGGGTCACGTGAGCATTTGTGCCCACATCCCCTGGGTCCCCGCCCCAATCTCAGTGGCGCTGCCTAGCACAGCACACCGTCATGCTTCCCACAGGTTCAGTGCCCACGAACCCAGGGCTGCTGCTGTGAAGAGCCGAGGCTCCCCGGGTCAGGGGATTTAGGACCCCTAAAGAACATGTAGTCTGGCCTCCCGCTTGAGGATACCCTCTGAGAAGAAGGGATGGGCCCTCCCAGCAGCTGGAGAACAATGACACTGACAGGGATCCCTTCCTTCTACGCAGGTCCTTCTGAACCTCAGGCAAAAAAGGCCGCCATTTTCCCAGATGCCAAGGCCTCCCCCACCGCCATGGAGGTCTCTAGCTGACCCACAGCTGGTAGCTCACTGCAGCCCACAGCTGGCTCGGGCTGCAGGAGCTGCACACCCCCCTCCACCTGCTGGACTGAGGGCTGCCATAAAGGCGGCGGCGCCCCAACCAGCTGTGGCCACACAGCAGCCAGCGTGTTGGCACCAGACCTTTGTGGGGTTGGACAGGCAGGTGAAGGGTCAGGCTCCATCCTCTGAGTCAAGCCGGAGGCCCAGGCCTGGTGAAGGATCCAAAGGCTCAGGACGTCTCAGGCCCTCAGCTGGCGGAAAGTATCACAGCACCACGGACACGTGTGCATACGCACACACAGCAGCCTTACCAAGAGCTCCTAGGCCTCTTCCCCATAGAAAATCCCAATGTAGGCCACTTTAAGAAGGAAGATTTCAGCCTAGTGTATTGGCGCATGCCTATAATCCCAACTATTTGGGAGGCTGAGACAGGAGGATCACAAGATGAAGGCCAGCCTGGCCAACTTAGTGAGACTCTTGTCTCAAAATGAAAAGCAAAAAGGGCTGGGGATGTGGCTCAGTAGTACAGTGCCCCTAGGTTCAAACCCCAGTGCCACAGAAACACAAGAAAGGTTTCTCGTGTGTACCTCTCCAGCGTCCCACGTGGGCCTCGGGGAGCTCTGTGTCCAGTATGCACATGTTTGTGTTTTACCCAGAAGCCAGCAGCCATAACCAAGCCCAACCCTGGAAAAACCTCTGAGCCATGACTGCAGGAGCCTCCATCCCTCAGGCAGCCCCCCAGCAAACCCCTCTTCCTGCAGGCTCTGGGGCAAGGGGTGCTGAGCCCCCAACTTCGAAGAAGCTTCGAGGGAGCTGAGGCAGACCGTAGCCCCCTGAGGTTGTGGCTGCGGGAGCTGAGGGCCATGCTGTTCTTACTGTAACTTTTTACTCTTAAAACACAAAAAGCACAATTCTACATTGCCGTCTGGAAGACGTGTCTGGACAGCACCTTGGGCCCTGCTGGTCCCCAAGAGACACCAGGGTTTTGCTTGTCTGTCGCAGCTGTGGTTGTGTGGTGTAACTCTGACCTAACACTCTGAAGGCTGCTGTGCTGGGTGGGACAGGGGTGGAGCCCTGCTGAAGCCACTTCCGAGCCCCCAAAGGCTCAGCGACATGGACTGGGGCCTGGACTCTTGTCCTGGAGCAGCTGTCACCCTCAGACCCCTGGAGCAACTGCGCCGTGGAAAGCCATGAGGTCCTGCACTGACCTGGCTGGGCCCTCCTCCCTGCAGAAGCTGCCCCTGTCTTAGAATGGCAGACAGTTCTCTTCAGAGTGACACTTCAAGAGAGGACTGGACAAGAGAGGGCTGGAAGGGTGTTTCAATTAACGATAAATAAAATGCAGCCTGCCACCCTTTGCGCTGTTTGCTTTCTGTCTGTCAGGGCACCACCGCCTTCCTCCTCCCTGCCCCCACCCCTTCTCCTCAGTGCCTGGAGGCTGGTGGCCGCTGGGGGAGCCCTTCTCAGAGCCAGGGACTCCGTCCAAGCCGGGGCACCCTGGCTGAACAATAGCCGTGACTCTCCAAAGGGCACAAAGGCCCAGGCCCCACTCAGAGATTCTGATTCCATGGGTCTAGGAGAAATGAAACAGCACTAGGATATTATTATTATTATTATTATTATTGGGATATTTATTATTATTTTTGTTTTGAAGTTGCCCCATTTGTTCTAATGGGCAGCTACGGTCTTGAACCTGCACTGTCAATAAAGTACTGTAGGGGGCTGGGGATTTAGCTCAGCGGCAAAAGCGCCTGCCTGGCATGCGCAAGGCCGTGAGTTCGGTTCCCGGTACCGGAGAAAAACCAAAAAATAAAAAATAAAAAAAAATTTTAAAAAATAAAGTA